ATAGACCCCCGCGCATGCTTTCCAACCATTACGACCTCTTGTCATGCCACAGCTCTCAAAAAATAACAACATTTGTCACGAATACGTCTTATATACGTCTTATGCTTGATCCAAGCAAGAATCCAAGCAATGCCACATTGGAGAAGACCAGGGCGAAGGAACATGTAGAACATACATTGGATCTGGCGGCTCGGAAAAGCGACTCCGGCTTGGAGAGTCGGATGTCTTTCGGCTCAAGTAGGAGCAAGTTGAATCCCGCTGTTGAATCCGTTTTTTCCATGACTTGCGAACGACATCTTAGCCAGTCAAAAAACATGAGTCATGACGTCGAAATCATGACGTCGAAGTCATGTCATGACGATGGTCAAGTTCTGTCAAGTTCCATCCTTTCCTTTGGGAAGCTTGGTGTGTCTGGTGATAGCGCTCTCGTCCCCAACCCAGGGCGGGGCCTGAAGGCGACGAGTACTGAAACAAAACGAGTTGTCCTGCAACCCAAGTCACTTACTATCTTGGATCCGGATTTATCCAATTTCTGCTATAGTTGTTTTCTGTTTCAGAAGTCATCAAACTCCTGACCCAGCGAAGATCTTCCCCACAGCCTCCCTCTCATTTTGCTCAACTCCACTTGCCAGTACATCCTCAGGCAGCTCTCGTTGCATCCTCGGTGCCCCAAAACTCATCAATTTTGTGGACATCAACTCACAATTAATGCGGCGCGGTGGGCAAAACTTGAGACCATCTGCGCGTACCACGTTGGGCGGGGGAACAGGCTGAACTGGATGCACAGGGTGTGACAGCAAAAGGAACTGGAACTTGCATGAACAAATGTTCTCCAAACGCTTGTTGCAGAGTATTGTATAGTCTAGTTGGCAGCAACTTGACAAACCATGTTGGTATCATGGCTAAGTAGCTCACAAATGTTCACAAGTTCACGCTCTCGCATTGACATACCCGGAGTATTCGCCCGCCAATAGCTGTAGGTCCCTCTCTCGCCTTCTGAACTTCTCTCAGCCAACCAACGAAAACGCCGCGCTGGGATCTCCAGACTCTTCATGAGATCATCAGCATCTTCGTAGACCACAAAAGGCCTGGACGCAGAAATAGGGACCGCTCGTCTCCGACCCGGCCCGGCTCGCATCTTCGGTACTCGTTCTGGCCCGGACTGTTCTGCAACAGAGCGACACGACTCGATCCACGGGTCATCCCGGGCTTGACTCGAGGAATCGACATGGTGGGATTCCGACACCTGAGCGGACGAATCGCGTGAAATGGCACCCTTCGTGAAGCGAAATGGTGTCAACATGAGTCAACCACTGAGTCAACCAATTGCTTTGAGGGATCAGCTTGCTGATCACCATCTCTTCGAAGAGACCTCGGAGAATGATCGCCCCTCTGGCTCCCCCCCCGCTCCGGAATGCAAGTCCTTGTGAAGGACAAGGAGCTCTGGGTAGGCACCTGAAAAACCCAAACAAGGCTCTGGAAAGTCTCCAGACTGTTCAGCTATGCTGCTATGGAGTAGTGAGAAACTTATTCCCCAAGGCGAGCCGCGTGGTTTGAAGTGTCCAAACTTTTCAAAAGCGTTCTTGTCACTACTACGGGATAGTGAAGTCCATTTCATTCAGATGCCCTAGGGGAAGTATGCCCTGTGAAAGTATAAACTCGGCCAACGAATCCTTTATTTCGCGATTTAGCGGGCGTTGCATCACCTGCAAGCGCAACGGCGCGTCACCTCAAGGACGTGGGAAACGAATGGAAACTAGATACGATGCGACCGTAGTGTATGTTGCTATGATTAGACACCGCTGCGGGTCGCTGCGCTGGTCCGCCGCGTCAACACTTCCCCGTCCTGTCGGGATCGGTTCGTCCTCGGTGTTCTTCCTCGGAAGCACGGAGGATCCATGCCATCCTCGCATTCCACTCCAGACCGTCCGACGCCGTCCCCGAGACACGCATACCAAGGCGCTGAGGCCACTGATGTGAGTCGTGGCGTTGGCCGCTCTGGAGGGAACGTGGCATGGAAGTGCTCATGGACCTGGGGATGGTTCGTGAGCCGGATGGGTGAGAGTATCTACCACCCTGTGTTGTTGGTTTCTTGGGTGGTTAGGGGGATGATGAATCATTGAATATAGAATGTCCACCTATGATTACTAAACTGCCACCCCGCGCAATGGAATGCACTGAATAGAAGAAAGATGAAGAAAGCCATCTCAAAAATCACAAAGTTGTGTTACATTTGCAAAGTATTGGTGCGGGATTTGGGAATGTGGGAACAAAGAGTTGGGACTTGTGGACAGCCAAACAACAAACAACAGAAACAGCATATGTAGTTTATGAAAAACCATAGCTCTATTCCATTCTATTCCTAGTGAGTTTGTTAAACGGTTCTTTTGGAACAAACATAGTTTTCTCCGGGTGCTGTTGATTCATCCCAGGAGACAGAAGTGTTATTTAGTCGTGTACGCAGCTCGTCAGTTGTTGAGTTAGGACATGTCAGGGAGCAACTCAGTTCGCTGAGAGGGGCCCTCCGCAGGTTCTGAAGCTGAAGCTTGTCGAAGCCCAGCCCAGTGTAAAGCATTGAGGATGTTCACATTTACACCATGTACTTGATGGCCATTTGAAGTCACTAGGGCTAATTCTGCTCCAGGATTCTAGTGACAGTGAATATGTGGTTCAGCGACTGGCACCAGTGATGAAAGGTTCATCAGGCGCTAACCACTAACCCAAGCCCAGGTGTTCCACGCGGTGCTCTATTTCATGAGAAAGTGGGCCAAGTAGCAAGGTACGAGTACATAATTGCATAGAGGAAGCACCCAGTCACGGAAAGGTCGAAAGAACAATGAACCAGATTGCCGATCTTGTTGGAGTTCACCTCCCAACTTCTGGAGCTGTTCATAGCTGTTCCCAGTTGACTGCTTCGTCTTTTATGTTGAAAAGCCGATGGAGGCCACCCATCTCATGATGCTTCCGCTTCCCGGTTCCGGGATCGGCTTGGATTGACCAAATTCCACCGCACATGGATCAAGCGGATGGTCATGCATGTTTTCTTACAACCTCCCGACCCATGAGTCATGGAAAAACATCTAATGAGCCACAAAACGAGACCCCAATGCCAAGCTTTTGATGCCAGGTTGGATGAACTTCGTTTTTTTTTTTTTTTTCCGAACGTTCAAGCTCCGACGGGATCATCTTGCAAAGCACGGAATGAGGTTTTCTCAACGGATCCCGGCATCCCCTTGAACGCATGTTTTCTGGCTTTTGAGGTTCTTGGGGTGTCCTTCCTCTTGACATACCCTTACTGGTTCTTGACTGGCGATGTGACCACTTTTCAATTCAATGGATGTGGTGGCAAGTGACGTCTGGCGCTGTCCAAGAGACCGTCAACCGCCATGCCCCAGCCTCTCAAGTATTGGTCTTCTGTCCAAGCCAAGCATTAAAAGCACATTGAGTCACAGGCACATCGACATAATAATACTCATATATTTATAAATAAAATATATATATATATGTATGTATAATCACTGATACTTATAGTCTGTCATAGACTCATAGAACCTTTGAAAGCTTCTTGGGCCTTACTCAAAGTCCTTCCGTGACTCACTACGCCTGGCCTCTCGTACATGTGGGCCCAAAACGCTCAGCCGGCGGCCACGAGGCATGTGCTGCCGACTCATCCTCCATATGGCACGATTTTTGCACTGCAAGAACCGAATCTAATGGGAAGTTGGTTTACACAGCGCTCAAACCATGCTTATTGTGGTTGCTGCTGTTTTCCACGGTTTTTTCTGTAGCCAAACCCTCTGAAGGTGGGCCTAAAGGGATGTTGAGTTCACACGAGTGCTGCCAAACCATGGTTTCTAGGGAGCGGCAAACCATGATATATACTGTACTCCTGAAACGGGCAGTACAGTATATCATGGTACTCCTGTACAAGGCCCGCTAGGAGTACTCCTGAACCTGTAAATCTTGAGTACAAGGAAATCCTCCTCACCCAAGATTTACAGGTTCTTCTGCAGATCCGTGCCGAAGAGAAGCCACTGTCAAGCGAGATAGCCATGAAGCACTTTGTGAACGAGGCAAATGACGGAGACGGAGAGTTGATGAGTAAACAAAAGTCTGGATGTCCTTCAGGATCTATTTGTGTGCATTGCTGAACTTTTTGCATTGGATGTTTGCAGATCTTCATCCCGCATGCGCGCCAGTTTCTGAAAGTAGTGAACCGTCCCACTGTCCTGCTGTTTGGACCCTGCCATGTGATCTGCAAAGGGCCTGGCAACGGACATGCAACAAGACCCAACCTATCAATTTTGTTGATGATGATGATGATGATGATGATGATATATCATATTATAAGTGATAATATTGAGATTCCATCTATTCCATGTAACATAGATGACACAGGCTTCAGGTTGTGTGAAAGTTGTTCCTGGCTTCTGCTCGCTCTCTTTCATTGTCACTTGGGGGGCAAGTGCGACCAAGGTGCATTCGCTGACACGAATTAAGCTGAAGCAAACATGTCCAGCATCCTTTCAATTAAAAGATCGCCTTTGTACATGTGTGGCCCTTTTTTTGGCCGTCCAAAGCATCAAACCCAATCTCCATCCTCCTCCTCAGTGGACTCTTCCTCACTTTCTAGGTTTGCGAGAATCTCGTCCACATCAGGGGAGGAACGAGCGCGGCTCACGACATTCTCTGAGGACATGGTGTGGCCTCCATCAGTGCCAGGTGTGAGCTCAGTCCGCCGCAAGGCGCTCGCAGGCAGTCTGGGTGGAGTTGAAGTGAATGAGGCATTGGCATCAGCCTGAGGATCTTCGGTGGTCGTGGATTCAATGGAGCTTCGGCTCGTCTGCAGCCGTTGCACTTCTCTTCTTTGCTCTTCTTCTCTTTGCCGCTCTTCGTCTCGTTGTCGCTCCTCTTGTCTTCTTTGCTCTTCTTCTCTTCTTCGCTCCTCTTGTCTTCTTTGCTCTTCTTCTCTTCTTCGCTCCTCTTGTCTTCTTTGCTCTTCTTCTCTTCTTCGCTCCTCTTGCCTTCTTTGCTCTTCTTCTCTTCTCAAGTCCTCTTCTCTTTGCTGCTCTTCTTCTCTTCTTCGCTCCTCGTGCCTTCGCTGCTGCTCCAATCTCTCCTCTTCTTGTCGCTGCTCTTCCTCTCGAAGCCTCTCCTCATCTCTGCGCTGCATTTCCCGCTCCATTTCTTGCATCCTCTGCTCTGATCGCATTTTTTTGGTTCTGCAATCGCTGCTCTTGTCCTTGCCTTTGCTGCTCCTTCCACCATTCCTCCTGTGGGTGAGCCTTGGCCTTGTGACGGCCCGTCTGCTCTCTTCTTGGGTCATGCTGCCTCTCTTCCTCCACAAGCTGGTATGGTTCATCCCCCTCTGAGTGCGGCGAAAAGTCGAAAGCATCGCTTAAGCTCTCATCGCATCGCTGAGGGCTTGGCCGCAAAGGTGTCATTGGTGCTTCAACATGAGGCATCTCCACAGGAGGCGGCTCCTTTGACTGAGAGACCCTTTCAGTCACATCGCCGAAGCTTGTGGGACCTTGCCACACTGAGATGCGTTCTGGCATTGAGACCTCCGGGGGGTTGCAAATGAAACCAACGTTTCTCCGTCTTTTTGTTTGACGGTTTTCTATAAAGCATAATGAAACCTTGAGCTGCTGCTGCTTTCCTGTGAAAGGTGAGAATAGGAAAGAACCCAGGTCACAGGCAAACAGATTTGAGGTGAAGGCTTTCAGGTTTGAGAGAAAAAGACCTGGCTAGCTAGGTGTGTGGTCCGCCAGAAGCCCAAACCCTACCATTCGTGCATTTGGACATATTGGGACTCCAAGATCCCAAGATATGTGAATACCACACAATCTGAATAAATAATAATAGCACGTTGTTTAATGAAATAACATCATATTGGAACCCCCAAAAGGTCCAGTACCAAGCCCAGTCATTCTCAGGCCTGAGGAAGGGAAGATCGAAGTGAACGTTCCGGCGAGCCGATCCTGGCGATGAAGGAACTGAGCCCCTTCAAACTCTCATGGATGCCACTCCACTTGTCATCCACAGGTGTTGCTTGCACCGCCAAAGCTTCTGCTAGAAGGCGCCCGGTCGCGGAACCTGTCACGGTCGCGGCTGTTGCCGCCGCCCGAGGGACTGGAGACACGGCACGCACGGTCCGAGGTGGTTGAGTTCGTACCGTCACGGGCTCCGACAACGTCAGCGGCTCGGTCCGAGGCTTGCAACTTTGAGGCCCTGGAGGCGCTGGAGGCCCTGGAAGCCTGGGCGTCAAGGGTTGCCTAGCGGTGTTGGGCCGCCGCTGGCGCAAGGGGGTTCCGCCCAAGCGTCTTCGCTGTGGCGAGCGAAGCCGGCGCTCGCTTCGGCGCGCGCTTCCATGACGGGCACGCCGATCCAGGGGCTCGGGGTGGTCCGCTTCGAGAGCAGCTTCACCGAGCTCTACCAGAGAGATGGACTTGGCCCCACTGGGCTCCACCAAGCCGATGAGAAACTCTTCAATGATGTCCTCACCTGGTGGTGGCGACACCGGAAGTCGAGGCTCACTTCTGGGACTCAAACGATTCTCGAGGACCTTCGAACCATCACCTCGGGAGGCCAAAACGGCTGAGTGGCTGCGGCCGGCTGCAACGGCCACAGCAAAATGAGGCGAGGGCGGAGAGAAATCCAAGAGCCTCTCAGGCCGTAGCTGGCTTTCTTTGAGCTCGGCTGTTCTTTCGGTACGGCCACATTGCCCTGATGAGGCGCTGCCCCAGGCCCAAACAGTGTTCCTCTGCTCCCTTCGAAGTCTCCCATCTTTCGGCTCTGAAAATCTCGTGAGGCAAATCACATGGTTGGCACCACAGGCGATACCAACGACCTCTTCATCCAAGTGGACTGGCACAGGCGTGGTCGTTGCGGAGCTCGTCGACTCGTTGTTGCCCAGCTGCCCATAGTGGTTTCCTCCACAAGCCCACAAGCGCCCCAAGTCAGTGACAAAGAAACTGAAGTTAGCGCCACAACTTACTCCACAAACCTTTGCCACATCCACCTTGTGAGGGCTGCTCCGATGATGGGACGAGCCCAGTCCCAACCTCCCATTGCCGCCGTGACCCCAGGAAAAGGCACTGCCTTCAGTGTCCCAGGCAAAGGAGTGGCATGCACCAGCGGCCACCCCAACTGCCATCTGTGCAGATGGCAAGGGAATAGCTGCTGCTCCACTCCCACTACCTGCACACTGCCCAAACTCGTCATCACCCAGCGCGAAAACACGGCCGGCCTCTGTGAGGAACAAGCAATGTCTCCATCCTGCTGCCACCTGCGCCACCTTTGATGAAGGACCACCTCGGGCGGTTCCCCACAGGTGCCGAAGCTGATCTGTTTCTCCCCCAGGGGGCCACAACCCTCCAAACATCAGGACTTCACCATCTGTGCTGAGCAAAAAAGAATTGGAACCCCCACAGGCAATAGCTGCGCACCCTCGACCTCGTGGGCTTTGACTTCGCCTCAGTGGCGACTGCCTTCCCCTTGGTGATGGGCTACGACCTCGCAGATCGGCCAGCAGAAGTGGTGCAGGCACCACCGAGGACGACGTCCTCTCTTCGCACCGACCACGCCAAGAGCGCGGCACCGCATGTGCGCCATGCAATCCCCAGCGGTAGACTTTGCCCCCGACCACCGCCAGGGAATGGTCCGTTCCTACTGCGATGGCTTCGACCAGCGGCTCGCCATTCCGAGGGGCGCTGCTTGGGAAATGCACTGCCGTGGGTTCTGGGCATGGATGATTCTCAGACCTGGCATGACCCAGCTCGCCGTAGGGGCCGCAGCCGAAGGTGAAGAGTGTGCTCGGCATGCCATGGCATGCGGCGAGGTCCCCGCCCTTTGGGAAACCTGGGAGGCTTGAAGTTTGCCTGTCACCTTGACTTCTCTCAGACAAAAGTTGGCACTTGTGATTTGAATAGTTTGTGTATTTTTGTGTCTGTGGATCGGGCTTTGAGTATGAGATCCCGATCCCCATGCTCTGCACCAAGATTCTTGGATCGCTTGCACGTGCACCTGTACTCCCTAGACCTGCTTAGCCCTAGCTCATCAAACCACTGACTTGTCCAATAACGCTTCGGACTTCATCTTCCCACACGAGAATCTCATGTTAAAGTTTTAGTACGGTGAACCAATCTGATTGGCTCAGCAGCTGCTGCTTCGTGAAGGAATATCAGCCGTTGATCGATAATGATATAGCCTTGAACATCTTGTTTGGTTCATGGCTTCCAGCTTGATGAGCCACAAGGAATCATCGCTCTAGGCAGTTTTCCTGAAACTGCGTGACGTGCCGCCATCAAAGGCTTCCACTGCATTCTCACTTGATGCATCAATGGCTCAAACTCTTTTTGACGTGCACAGCTGAGAGCGGCACCCATTGAGCTCCGCGGGTCGCGAGGAGGAGCACTGAGATAAATGACCTCACATCAACGTTTTTTCTGGGTGAAGTCCATGGTGACTCACGGTGGCTCTAATTCCTTGCTTGTAAAACATGCATTTATAATCTATATAATAAGTAGTACGTACTCTATGGTCACTATGGTGTATGTGCTCGTTTCTTGCTCTTTGCCCCTGGGTGGCCTTGCTTGAAAAGAACGCAATGAGCCAACATATTGAGTCAAAATCTGGGTTGCTCGTCCACATTTGCCACTTGTTGCCACGAGCACAATTGGTACTGAGCCAGCTCTACCTGGGTGAACCTAGGGACGAATTTGCCATACATTTGCAACTGTGGAACACCTTCCTGGGAAGGCCAAGTGGATAGAAGAAGGCGTGTGAATATCAACTTTGATGCCGTTCTTGAGAAAGTGTACTCCAGAAACTGCAAGTCTCCAGGTATTATTGGTGTGGGGCCTGAAGAGGCCAGACAGGTGACATTGCACTAGCAGGAGCCTCAAGAAAGAACGTCCTTAAGTCCTCAAGAATGTCCACCTTCCACCCCACCCATCAAACCAACTGTTGGAGGATGGTCAGACTGCGCGACTGGAGGTCTTCAGTTGAACTTCTTTCAGGCCCCCATCCTGGAACCCACACCCTCCGCATCCACCGCGCGATCGCTGAGGCCAGCGACGGCCGTCACGTCCCCTGCGGTTGCACGGTTCCAAGCACCCGCGAGACGTCCAGTGGTGTACGGACACCACGAGCTCGAAACAGTTGGTCTAGATGAAGCAACCACTTTGATGGGCCGCACCAAAAGTCCAGGAAACTGGCTTGCCTCAAAAGACAAGGAAGAACCAATGGTCAGACATTTGCCTCCCCTCATTTTGAGACAGTCGGACATTGCGCGCAGCCAGAACCCGCCAGATTCTCTGAGATGCTTTGTTCGTTGCAGTAGAGGTGAGACTAATTCACTGCCCCTGAGCCCTTCAACGGAAAGCCTGTAATCGAGTTGACCTTCTGTTTCTAACTTCCTACTAGTTGTTCACTTTGATGAAAACACCTGTTGTTTCTTGTATTTCGAACAACGTACAATGTATATATATATATATAAGAAAAACACACACATATATATATATATAGTAATAATGTTCAAATCGCAATAGCAAACTACGAGTCAATTATAAACCAGCAAATCTCCGGGTTGCCCAAAACCATGCAAAAATAGACTACTCTGGCGGTGCCTCTCCTGCGCCCGTCGGCTCGCATATCCCCCCTCCCCTCCCTTCCCCTCGCCATCCGCCCTTCGCCTGGACCAGTCGGGAGGATGGACACTGGGCCACTGAAGCTTTGGGAGCTCTCGTTCCAGCCTGGCCCAGTCCGGACGCGGTGAACCGGACCGGACGAGTCAACGACCAACGGCTCATGGACGGGAGGATCGAGGTCACGCGCGTGCAGTGCTCATGAGCGAAGAGCTCTCGTATTTGTTTTTCCAGAAGAAGGACCACCGACTTAAAGCCACTGAACAGATCAAAAGCGCCCCCCAGAAGAAGAAGCACCACCGACTTAAAAGTCACTGAACAGATCAAAAGCGTAAGAAGTTCAAACCCTGAAATGGCGTTTTCTTCCTGATTCGGTCTTGTTCGGTCCATCACGATGATCACACCGAGTCGGAATTCCTTTGAGGCGCCCGCCCACGCCCACACGCACCGCCAAGACGTAGCGCAGCATGGCAACGTGCTGGTCCTGGAAACAAAGACCGTCTTAGCATCGGATTCAATGGCAGAGACAAAGGAAAGGGGCTATGATGATGATTCCATGGCTCCGAACCGCTACACACCCATGGCGTTAGGGGTAGAAGAAGTTGAAGATGTAAGCTATGTAGGTGTAGAGCTGCTCTCTTTTTTGACTGGGGTGAGAAACACTCACCCAAAACTGCATGCCGATCTCAAGCTGGTTGCTGTTGAAAGAAGGCTCCGTAGAATCCCGCCATCCCGCGGGATGAACACCATTCAGCGCATTGAGATGCATGTTTATTGGGGGAAGCTGCTTGATGAAACATGGAGGAGCTGCAAGATACCACTGTCGCCCTCGAGGAGCGCAGCACGAGGGAATTTCTCCCCACACCCATGCCGAA